ACGTATTCATTTGCTTTCTCCGATCAATGTTCAAATTCGCAAGGATAAATTATATTGCGTCAAACATATCATCGATTAAAGTTGTTTGTTTAATAAATAGTAAATTCTACAGATTTTTTTACTTTTAATACATAATCACATAAAATTTTTTTCAAATTATATAAAAATTTAGAAATTCCACAAAATAATAAACAACTTTGAAAAATAGAAATTACAAAATAGTTAAAATTATTAAAACATCGGATGTTGCAATGAGACCCTTATTATCTGGATGTGCAAATTGCGCTCACATTTAAAATCCCTTCTCTCCATATGAAAACTGAACAGAGGCCGGGTCAAGAATTGCAGCTGCCGGCGATCTTTGCGTAACAAAATATAATGCCAGTGATGCAATAGAGGTACAACCAAGACTGCCATATGTAAAAAAATTCTCGGTTTAAGCGTGCGACCGAAATCGGTCCTCCCTCTATATAGTTGTACTACTAACAAAGCGAGTAGCAAGGACACGTGAAAGTAATCATCAAAAAGCGCGTCCGCGCGCACTCATTCTCGCTGTCGAGACAAGTCGAGTGACACAAATCGTGGAAGAAAAATGAAGAAAATAGAGCAAATTAGAGCAAACAGGAAGTAAAAAAAAAAGAAACAAGAGAAAAGAAACAACGGACTAGATACACAGTGATAATGATTGTGAGGAAGTGGGTCGAGAGTTCACAGGCCGGATAATTAAATTCCACAACCGAAGAAAGCGTTTTCCCTCTCGTTTAGCGAGTACCATCACCCTTCCCTCTCCCGCCTTCAATAAGGATGAGAACCGGACATATTGGCCGACCACCGCTATGTTGCCAGACCAGCTGTAATGTATTTCCTCAAGTCGCCTTCAAATTTTCTAACATAGACTGACAGTGAATTCTCCTTTAATTATGCTTTGAATGCACATTGATCATGATTCAGAAGTTCCTGACTTGCAGAACAATCTGTTTATCTCTATCTAATTCTATCAAACAACCATACTTCATCATTAGAATCTAGTGAAGATGCTTGCGAATATAAAATATAGATGATAACTAAACCACTCGTTTCTTGTTTTTCATGTAATTATAAAATATAACTCATTATCAGCCAAATACGAACATAAAAGTATCTACAATAATAAAATCTAGAAATTATTATCACTTAAAATTGCCTGGAAAATATTGGCACAATTTTGATCGGCAAGAATTGATGGCACTGAAAGTACCATCATACGGCAACGCTGCGCGTATTAATGCGTGCGAGATGCGCTCACCACGAAGATGATGATTACATCGACGATTTGAATGCGCGGAAGCTTTACGGCACGAGTGATACAATGACGGCGAAGTATGTACTTTTCTTCCTGATGCCTGCCTCTATTTCTGCAACTTCGCTGATGCTATCGGATGATAATGCATTCGATCGCGATCTGTACGAATGGTCGCGAATCATTTTTGTCAATAGCTCTTGTACGCCATTATTCACGGTGAAACACTTGTTGAGATGTCTCATTTATTATTTTTGATGGAAAATTTTTTATTGTATTCTGTATAATTTAAAGTAAATTGTTAAAAAATGTGTTACACTATTGGTATAAAATATTCTTTACATTATCGTAAAAAATATCACTTTCTCTTTCTCAAAAGACAGTTAGTATCTAATCTCGTATCAAATCTGCAAACGCGCCAAACATCAATTAAGCGGCCGGAGATATTTCTCGATAAGCAAATTGGTCCAGTCGTTAATTAGCAAATTAACGCACGAGCTAACTTTCCTCGTCTAAAATATTAGAACGTATGTTTCTGATGTAATGTCAATAAAATAGCAATGTGATTAAAGTCAAAATTTGCAAAATAGTATATTAAAATGCGATATATCCTTAACTAATTTTTATTCTCTAAGATACGCGTAGATTTTCACGAAATTTGTGCAATATTGTAAAATGCTTGCGCAGGATTAATGCGTCCTATTTTTCTCTAGCAGATGTGTTACTAGTTGAATCAGAAATGTTCGCTACACCGGAAATAACTTCACTCCTGAAATTACTAACTTTCTTTCAAGTGACCTATTCAGCGTATAAAAACCCCTCAGGTTATTCATGCTGTGATCACTGTGATTCTTGCAAAATCTTTAAATAACTAATGTAAATTAAAATAATTGGAAATATAGCATAAACATTCTAGCTTACTTTTTAATGTAGGTAATAAAATAATTTATTAGGAATAATATAAAGTTTATTTAATACCTTAAATGCGCAGAATTCGAGCAAATTATTCTCTACTAAGCGGAATAATTTAAGTAAGATTAATAAAATAAATAAAAATGTTAAATTGGTGATTTTGCAAACGCGTGATTGCGAGGAAAAGCAATTATCAACAGTGCAAAAAGAGAAATATGTATTTCGCGTCGAGCGATTAACGGAAATGTCCAATAAGGAAATAGTTCGGTGTACATCCGGTGCTACAGACTGCGCGAACAAAGAAAACTTTACATAATGTTCTCTTTTAGTTTAGCTACGTCTTGTTACGTAATGTGCTTCTCGTATTAATATATCGAATAAATATGTATCTGTATATGTATAAACTGAAAGATTATTAACACACAAAATCGCATAAAATCGCAGTAATTGACAGGTAAGTGACTTTATCAGTGTTTAGAATTACCTTCCGTATTATTATGACAAACATTTATACTTCAATCTGTATCTAAATGAGAAAAGAAATTACGATCATAATTATTAAATTTCCGCATTAAAAATATTATGTCATAAAAAATATAATGCCACTCTATTTGCAAACCTAGATAGATATAAAGACAACTCGCGATAAATGATAAAAATTATTCATATAAAAGAGTTTATGAATTAATAAATCATTTCTCATAGAAATTAAAATAAAGCCTTTATAAGTGGTTAGGTTATTATTATATTCCGTGCATCATATAAATTATTGCAAATAATATATAATTTAAATGCTCTCTCTGTCTGTTAATTGCTGTTATTAAATTTAAATATAACATTTTTCTAATTGTAAATCAAACGTAAAAGAAATAATTTTCCTCAATAATATATCCAAATAATAATGAAATAGGCAAAATTATAAAATATCGATTATGGGCACACATTATAGCTACTTGTAATCTTGAAACGACGTGACATGCTTCTCATAAGAAATATGCAAATTTGCAGTGACATGTTAATGTTGTAAAAGAGTTCGACAGTATAGCTAATAATTTAAATCTTGGCGTCATTTGCATGGATATTACACAAACTAGAAACTCATTTAGATAGATTGATTTAGTGCGTCATAAAATATCAGAATAAAAACAAAGTTCCTATTTTTTATAGATTTTTTTTACGGACTTTAAAAAGATTGCAATGCCTCGTAATAAAGAACGCACTCGAAATTTTTTGCAAATTTTAAAACTTTCTTAGATTTCTATGTAAATTTCTTATACAGATTTATCTGCTTTTCAACAGCATTACAAACACATCATCAAACAAACGAAATACAACATCTCATATAGACAAATATTAAATATTTATATCATCTCTTGACTTTTATCCTTAAGACATATACTTTCAAAACGTTTTAAAATCAGTAATTATGATATTAATATGATGAAATCGATGAAAAACATGACCTCGCGCCGAGACTTTAATTGCATCATTTTATATTGATCTATCTGGTTTCTGAACACATGATGACATCCATTTGGCTGTTATCTAATGAAGAAAGAATATATTCCATCAACCATTCCAGAAGGTAAAACTCTAAATAGGACGTCTCATAATGAACATTTGATATTCTTGTCACATAAAATTAATATAGCGAAACGGTGCGCATGCAGCATTTATTAAAACGTTGCAATATGTTGTTACTCAATAGTCATTGCATCACTAGTAAATTTATCTAACTATATTTTCGAAAAATAAAAAAGTTTCTCAAGTGTAAACGCAATGTAATGTGGATATATATTATTGCGATAAAAATTAATTTTTGACTAACTATCACACTATTTATAGTTAATTATCTATAACGGTATATAGTAACAATAAAAAAATAAAATTATATGAGCTTTAGATAGCTGAGGAAATACTTATATGTGATTACGATAAAACACTCGATAAAAGACAAAAATTAATAGATAAAAAGTGATTCTTGCAATAAGATATAAATTCAATGTGTAATGCGAAATATATATTCTCGAAAATAAGACAATTTCCTCAATAAGATCAATTTCTAGTAAATCGGTTTACAACCACAAGTTATACACGCGCTCTGTAGAGCAGGTAATAGCATTAAATTCTTAAACTGTTCCCACTTATTTTATCAATAGCTAACTGTTCGTCATGACATAATCCTGATAGAAATAAATACCATTTCAATAAGGAGCCGTCATTAATAACTGGCGCAAAATCCTTAACAGAATCTATTATTTTACTGCTGCTATTATGTTACTGTTATGATAAATAGAGGATATTTTTAAAGAAATGTTGCATCTTTGTTTTAGACAATTCCCGAAATAAAGACTATTTTTTTTACGAACTGATAGACGACACTGACTTAGTGACCTATGAATACATCAAAAGATATTAATTGTTTCTATCAATGGCTGTCTGTCATAATTGCCCATTTCTGTCTGTCAAAAGGTATATTAATCATTAGCTGATAGCCAAGGTAAAATCTTTTACGGATCACCAAAGCATTTGATTCAAGAAGTCTAGGTCTAGGACGCAAGTAGGGACTCACGGTTGATCATTAAGAGACCGCGTTTCGCAAGATTTTGTCGTCCAAATTTCGAATATATATTGACGATCTTCGCGAACGGGACGGACGGATGTAAGGACTCGACAAAGAAAGAGAAGCACAAGGCCGGGGGAGGGGAGGGCGAGAATCGTCTCACAGCTGAATTACTCTCACTCGAGAGAGGCCCCCGTCTCTTCTTCGTGGGGGCCCCACGTATATCCCCCTGCTTCTCCCAGGGGTATAAATGACTCCGGTCTACCTTCCACGGAGTCACAGAACAGAGCGGCATCGCAGAAGCCGACATGAATCCTCTGATCGCGGTAAGCAAACTTTTTTTTCATACCACTTACGCTAAGAAACGGTATGTGGAAGGCGGAGAGGACAAGGGGAGTTGAGAAAAAGAAAGCGAGTAGGAAAATGTAGTGCACGGATATGCGTGTGAGTGGGAGAGATCGTGAGAAAGTGTAGAGAGAATCGAGTGATCGAGATTTCGATCAGTACAAAAAGCAAGTGTTGATTTTTTTTTTAACGGAACTGTCACCTCTGACCTCTCGTGATACGCGTTTCACATCACCTCGCGGCAGGCGATAAGCATCTAGGTGTTTTCCTTTTCGTTCGCGACGTTTCGATTTCTCGCGATCAAATTTGCATTTCGTGACAATAAAAAGTATTAGAAAAGTTAGCCGCAGAATTTTCGACTATCCAAAATTACACTTATTAGAAATATTCATTATAAATTTCAATCTAAAAACTTTATTTCTGTGAATAATTTTATATTTTTAAGCTTAACATTGCGTTTCCAAATCTACTTTTTTTAAATAAAAAAAAATATTTTGAAAGATGTGTACTTTTTATATTTTTCTAAAATTCGTCATTCTTTTTAAATTGTGTGGTATATATTTTTATCACAATTTTTTAACAAATATCTGAGTTTGAAAACATTCGCTAAATATCTGAGTTTAAAAATTTAAAAATCACACAAGAAACTAAAAAAAAATAACAAGTACATTTCAGTTAATGTAGATCAAAATTTGAAGTTTTATATTTTTCTAAAAAAAAAAAACTTCTTAAAATTATATGTATATCATTCCCCAAAAAATATTGCATAAACATAATTAAATCTAACCTAAGAAGCCAGCGTCTCATGATCAGCAACTATTCCAAAAATCCGAATTTTTAATTCTTTGATGAGAAAATATTTTGCTAAATGACAGCAAATCGCTATATCACCTAACGTTTGCAATGTGCAATTTAATGAAATAAATCCATTAAAGTAAGCCTATGATATCGATGCATAATGGACACGAAACAAAAAAGTAACATATATTTTTTTCTTATTTCAGTGTATGGTTGTCGGTCTGGCAGGGTTTGCCCTGGCCGAGCCGCCTGTGTCCTCCGGTTATAACTACAACAGACCAACCGGCGGTGGTGGTGGTTTCGGTGGCGGTTTCGGTGGCGGATTTGGCGGCGGCGGCGGCGGCGGCGGTGGATACACCCAGGTATCACCCGGATTCCAGACCAACGAAGGCGCCTCCGTAGATAGCGCACTCCTTGAACAAATCCGTCAGATCCTTCTGAAAGAGGAGTTGCAATCTCAATCCACCGGCGGATTCGGCGGCGGCGGTGGTGGTGGAGGTGGAGGTGGTGGATATCCTAGCTCCAGCTATGGTGCACCATCGTCGCAATACGGCGCCCCGTCCCCACAATACGGTGCGCCCAGCTACCAGACCCGCGTCGTAGGTATCGATCTCGAGGGCATCAGACAAGCGATCCAAGTAGCCCAATTCAACCAAGTGAGCCAAGGCTCGGGCGGAGGCTATCCCAGCGGACCCAGCTCCAGTTACGGAGCGCCCAGCAGACCACCGTCTGGTAGCTACGGTGCGCCGTTTTAAAGAATAATCTTGGATTGGATGATGATGAGAGAAGGAGAGAGAACAAGAGAGAGAGAGAAAGTGTGAGAAAAAGAGAACGAGAGAACGAGAGAATGAAAGAGAGAGAGAGAAAGAGAGAAAGAGTGGAATATGGCACCGGCCGACGATAACGACCACTTTCCGAGACGCAGCTGAGACACGCAAAAACGCACAGAAATGGAGAACATCAAACGTGAAGGAAGAAGGTCACGATTGTCCATGGATCGTCGGATCAGTTTCTTCTGAAATGGTATATTCTTCAAACTCGGAAGGTCGTCGATGCCAAGATCAAATTGTTGCACTATAAATTCACGAAGATCAAGATCTGAAGATCGTCCGATCGGTTGGAGCGCCGAGGGAAAGCTCGCCTTCGCGACATCAGCACGAATACATCCCTCACGCGCAATGTCAAGATCCAGCCGGAAGACAAGTCGAATGATGAAAAAAACGCGCGCGAGAGGCGAAAGTACGAATCTGCGGGACGGCATCTGGTCCGTTGGGGATTAAAATAGTCGTCGCTTCAACGGAGTCGGGGGTCTCCCGAGACTCGCGGAAAGATAAATAGCAGCCGAGCGCGCGCAAGCAGTATCCTCTCCGGGCCTTTGACTTGTCGAGGATCCAACGGTCGTCGCTTCGACAAGTCGGGCGCCGCGGGAGTGAACGTGGCCAGTTTTTTTCGTCTTTTCCTTCGCCACCCCCCTCCATCCACGGACGATCGATCGCTGAGACAATTCTAGGCGGTCGGCGCGGTGCCGGAGTCTATCGTACCAAAATCACATCAGTCGTCGCAGTCGTCTCCACACGCGGAGAACTGAGGGTCAGTGATATCTCAACGAGGCAGGCGTGGTCGCTGATTGCAGACACACATTTATACACCCCTCCCCCGCGGCGATCGCGGCTATCGTACTCGTCGTCGGGGCACTCATAGAACGAGCGGAAGGAGAAGAAGGAGGCCGACAAGCCGAAGACGTGATCGGCGCACGATTCAGCGCCTTGTAAATAAAAATCTGCCGCTGCGCGGCGTTCATTGCGTTACTCGGTCCCCTGCTGTTCCGCTCGGGTGACTGCACATCGGCACTCACCGAAGACCTTGGTCCAGGATAATGGAATGCTGATAAAACGCGGGAGGAAGATTTTTCGACCGAGTTGTCCGAACAAGTTGAAAAGATCGCGAGGACTGATATCCGAAGAGTATGCGTAGTAAAGTCGATTCCGCGTAGAATATCGGCCTCCACTTATCCACGAGGTCATACACGAGAAAATTCACCTTGTCGGAAGAGAGCGACCCGAGTCACAGAGTGGACGCCGCCGGGCAACGTACACGTACACGAAACCACGAATACACACTATTTTTTTATACATTTTAACCCTCTACTCCTTAACCACGCATCTTTTTGTACTTGTATAAAGGCTTCTTTTGTAGAAAAAAGAATAAAAAAAACGTCGCCACCGTTAAAAACCCTGTGTGCTTTTTCTCTTTGTTGTCCTAGATAGAAACGGAGCGATTCGCCTTTAGCGAACGTTCTCTGCTCTCTTCCTTGTTGTTCCTAATTTCACTTTTCCTTCATCAACTGTCAACGATCATGATTATCGCCGCGTTCTATGTTCTGCGTGACCCCAGCGATTGCCGCCAGAGACACGCTCGTCCTCAGGCTCGTACAGGTTTTTTTTCCACATTTTTTTTTCCGCGTCGCCTTATCCTCGAAAGATGTCCGATCGTTTCTCTTTTTCTTCATCGACGTTTCGAGAGATCGGCGCCTTTCTCCTTTCACTTGCAAACCGATGTGCCGATGGGTTCGCATTATCCCTGCTGAGGAGGGGAAGGCCGTGCTTCTCCACCTGGACATGACGTAAATTCTCGGCAAGCACGCAAAAGGGCATCGCGTTACGGGAGTAAGGGAGAAGGAGAGAGAAGACCTGGCCATCGGTCAAGATTCGAAAGTGGCTTGATTTTGCGTTCGCGTTGCGAGCCGAGTGAAATATCCTCGGTTTATTTGGGCAAAGGATGTCCGGGGGATACTGGAGATTTCGACTTTTTCTTCATCGTACTTTCAAACAACTTCTTACGGCATGATCATGAGACGCCCGCGCTCCTTTCTCATTCGAGTTATACCCGAGATTAGCATCAGAGCTCTGAGTTTCTTAATTGCAGAGATGACGTAAGTTGTTCGAGTATATAAACTTATCTTGATATGTATGCTGCTAGACTTTTCGCTTCAAATATAGAGTATATCTGTTCAACTCCATATATCTCTTGTTATTTTTGCTTTCTTTTAGGCTTTAAATTTAAAATTTTACTGCAATTAAGTGACTATCAGTAAATGATTATTTAAATTTAACATTCACTTATTTTATATCAAATTAAATTTAATCCAAGACTAATCTCTTCTCTTTGTATATGATAGGCTTTTCTTTACATTATAATTAAGATAAGAAATTGAGAAAACAACTTGCGATCTGCATTTTTATTACATTATTTAAGCTTATTATCCTACTGAAAAGAGGCGTTTATTGCTATCTCGAAAACACTTAACATGTTTTGTAGGTAGGTAGCAGCTACTAGACGTTTATAACGACATTCATCAGCGTCGGTTTTATAGATGTGTTATAACTCACATTTATGACGACAATAATTATTCTCATGTACAATAATTATTCAAATTTTCTTTGTGAAATCTGAATAACCGAGTCAATTTTAAGTCTCGAAAACAACAAAAAATATATTGCCGCGTTGCAAATTTATGAGTGCACGCGCAATAATTATTCAAAAAATAGAGAGAAATATTAAATATGAAAGTGTGTGAAGTAACTGGGATAGGCACAAACTAAAAATAATTAAGGCACGATGGAAATAAGAGTTAATCGAGGTGTGATTAGTCTGAGATTAAGTCATTACACAAAATCTTGATGTATCTCTGAAACTCAGTTGCATTCGTGCAAATTGCGTAAAGTGAGAACGCATAAACATGCATTATGAAAAAAAAGATACAAATAATATTAGATATGTGATAAAAGTATTAATTTACTATAAATGTCGCAAAGAAAATATAAATCAATTTCTTATTTTAATTAAAAATTATATTATTAAACAAAATTTTGAATTAAAAAATTTTAAAATATGTAGGTGAAAACAGTATAGAAATCTAATATATATATATTTTTTTTACGAGTTACATTTTCCAAATTTTAATTTATAAAAAATTATCAAATACGTATATACATGGAAGATCATAATGCAAATAAATGCTTTGAGGATAAAGCTAAAAGATGAAAAGAAAACTTATATTCTATTCTCAATTATTTAGTTGAATTATTTGCTTTGTTGTGAATTAAGCTGCTTTACCATGTAATATGCATACTTATATGCTCAAATAGGTAAATTATTTCCGCATTCCTTACATATATCTTCAAGATACATCAGGATGACGTTTATGCGTGTAAGAAAAACTTCATAAATTATAGGTGCGCTGAGTTATGTAACGAGAAAATGTTAACACCGTGTTTAAAAGATACGAGCTTGAAACAGTTAGGTAAGAGGGTGAACGCCGATGTTAATGACAAAATGAATATTGTCAATAATATTGACGACGTTCAGATAGATTTATCGCGTTATCTCGACGAAGAGGAAATAAGTATATCCTAACTTTTCCGTCAGATATTTCTAAGGTAAATAACAAACAGTGTTGTCCGACATTTGCTATCTTTCGCGTAAATTGATATCTTATTTCCGTATCGTTAAACACCTTCAAACAAATTGATAAAGACCAAATGCGAGTTTAACAAGATTGAAGAGTGAGAAAAATGAATGCTTCACGTAAGATGGGAAATTCCGCGTTTGGAATAATGTTTGTGCCAGTTGAAAATAGAGAAACTTATTCTCAGCGTGAAGAATTTATTTTCATAGCAGTGAAATTATTTGCTACGGAAATTAGAAATTTTAAAATGCAGTTAAGTACTTCAGAGTCCAAAGAAAATAAAAATAAAAATACATGAACGACAATTTTAATTATATAATATCAAAATATAATATAAAACGCAAAATTTAAATTCGAAACTCTAATAAAGAACAAGATCAAAACACGCGTAAGGCGACAGAAAGCTATAATTCTTAAATTCTGAAAACCCTCCCCGCAGTTTACCAAGAGTTTACGATAACATAAATATCGTGTGAAGGAATGTCGTGCATACGAAGTCGGCGTGCACTTTCATAATACTTGGCAAGGCGACACACGGCGATGACTCCACTACAAAGTGTCTATTAAAAATGGTTTCGTGAGAGACAGAGGAAAGCGTGGTATCAACCGGCTATCTGTCCCGAAAGACTTACGTACATAGCTGCGACGTCTACCAGGGAAAGTGCCGCGCGACTTCGCGCCAGGGGATACGGTGAGATCGCCAGAAGGTAGATGGAGAGGCGCATGTACTCACTGTGTGAGATTCTCTATAGAGTTTTGCAAGAGAGGCGCGCATGAATTCGACCGCCGGCGTGCGAAAGGAAAGAAAAATACGCATTTACCGAACCGACGCAATGTGCGCTCCAGTTACAAGGACATGACTCACTTCGCGTTGTCGCGCGACAGTCATAATTTGCGTCTTCATATTATTTTTGCGTCAACGTTATGCAAAATTAATAAAAGATCGAATTCAGAAAAATTACTTATACAAATTAATAAAAAATGTTATTAAATAAGTATTTCTAATATAAAATAACAGTTAATAATACAAATGAACGAAAGCCAAGTTTCATTTAACAACTAGCGAACTAGTTCGCCTAAAATAGAGATTTGTTTTCCCAACAGTGATAAGAGATACTGATTGTTTTTCAGAATTTACGTCATTAGCATTGATAAGAGATCTATTTAAAAATGTAGCTATTAATTTTACATTGTTTAAAACAAATTTCGTTACAATAATATACAAGTATGGATATAAATATGATGTTATTGAAATTAAAAAAAGGGCAAAAAAAATTGATTTTGTAATCCTTACAACCGAAAAGAACGAAAAAATATCTAGCTACACTACTGATTGTTATCTGAAGGGTTTGAATGTAGATCGTTTAATACCGTAAGATCTACTTAATCAGTGAACCCGATCAGTGCCGATCCTAGGCACTAAGGAAATCCTAGCGTGCGAAAAAGAGAGAGGCATCGGGAGAGGAAGTGCGCGATGGATACAATGCCATCCGCGCTACCAATTATGTGAAATAGATTTGTCGAGACGTGTAAAACGTGCACCGGATTTACAATGGTTCTGTCAGTCCTCGTACTTTCGCTAGTTCCATTTTTGCTCGGGACTTTTGACAAAAGTACACAGAATACACGCGCGTTGCTCAACAACGTTGTCACGTTAATCTGGACGAGATCGCAAAAACAACCTCAATGAATTACTCTATTCAGGCAAATTGTTCCCTCCTTGGTTTTTTTCTTCCATAATTGCGACTGTAAGGCAGAATCGCGCGTCCTCAGATTACGTATCGTCAGGTTGCATGAACTTTAATTAGGTACTAGGTTGCGCGATGCTCAAGATAAATCAATTCGCGATACGGCATTTCATTCTTAGCGCACTGTGATTTCATTTTGCATGCACCGAAACTAACGAGATACGAGAGATAAGATCTCTTTCTAAGAACTGTAATATTAATGTTGACCTATAATACATTTAAGACCTTCGAAGATTCTTGAACCGTGTATTTAGTGGCAATAAAATACTTTTTATTTCTGAATTCGAATTATAAAAAAACCAAAAATTATAAATAAAGATTATACTTTTGAAGTCAAGAAGCTGATTAAACTCATCATTATTCTGCGAAAGCGATTCTCTCGGAGAAAGATAGTAAAAGTCTCTAATAGATAGCTAATCGTGAAAACAGCGACCACTATTTCTATCCTTTATATATCTCTATGTTAATCTACGGTTTTATTTCTCTTCGAGTTTCTTCGAGCCAAGAATCTCTAAACAAGTTTCATAAATCTTTTTTTAAATGCGCATTATAATAGAATTAAGTTTGAAATGAGAAAACGATGGTGAATTTTTGCGCGTGTCTAAAACTAGCGGATTGAATCATCGGCAAGGAGCGATATACAGTAAATCGGGCAAGACGCTTGCACAACCGTCGATCGACGTTGCATCTTCGCAACCTGTAGCGTTGCGCGCCGCGAAGGAGATCATACGTAATTCCCGGCAGAAACGACCGCACCGTTATAACGTTACCTCATGCACAGAACCGGCACTCCTTACATCCATAAATTCTTTGACCAATCTAGTATCAATCTTTCTCTAACAACCTGAATGCTGCGCAGATATTGGTTTTAACTTTAAGAAAAAAATCGATTTAAAGATTGTAAATCCAATCACATGATAAATAAACGCAATTCCTAAATAAATATATATTTGTCGTCTTATTTAATTCTCTATGAAATATTTGTATGTTTTTAAATAAAATTAGTCGATTGAATTTTAAGTAAATTAGTAGTAAAAAATTTTATCGCATTTTTTTACTACAAAATATTCTAAATAATTAATATTCTAAATTGATTAAAACGTTTCTGGCAACAAAAAAATATGATACAGAATGAAAATTAAAATGAAACTTTATAGAGCAATCAAGTATTACTGACGTGACAATAGCGCAAAGGTTCGTGCAAGTCACGTTTAATAAAGCTAATAAGTCTTTACGTGTTCGCATGCATGCACGCACACAACAAAGAGCGAATCCGGTGTAATAGTCACTGATTACCCCGCAAGGCACTTCTTCCATCCTGAGAAAGCGAGGAAGGGGAGAAAGTTACGGGAAAATCATCGAGTCTTCCTAGTGTCCTATCACTTTGTTCGTAAATCCGCAAGAAGGAAGGCGCCGAAGACGGCTCATCCGGCTCTTCGCATCTTCCGCAAACGAACGCCGATTATTTATGCGCTGGCCGTTGACCAGTCAATTTACGTTTCAAATGATCCGGGAAGCAGTAATTGAAATGGAAATGAACGGTAACGTAACTTAAGCTACCGTTTGTTCTATCTGCAAGTATATCAGTACTCGCGCCTATAACACCAACTCACACGCGAAACGCTTATGCAAGATACATTCGTTGTGTTAATCTTTTCATATTATTCGCGACTTCAATTACAAAGTAATTGTCAAATTATAATGATTAAATATAGAAGAAAATTCTCATAAGTTTGTGTTGTGTTTAAAGATTTTAATGTAATATATGTAATATATGAGAAATCTCACTTATCGGTCATTAATATTAAATATTTGCAACATAATTAAAATAAACATTTCTAAACTGTCCTAAATAGTTAAAATTGCATAACATAACACTGCACAATAACATATTATATTGTTATGATAATAAGAATAAAAATAACAGTAAATCTTCATTTTAAATTAAATTTAACATTAACATTTTTTTTAGTGAAAGATATAAAAACTTAAAAAAATTATTTGATTAAATAATTAAAAATATAATTTAATTTATTTAGTATTTAAATTGTATATATTAAAATAAAAGTGTAATTTAAGTTTTATTTATCATAATATACAATATTAAATTTTCAAAAATTATTAAAGAAAGATAGCTTTCAATAAAATTTT